GTATTTGAAACAGAAATATAAAGAATGTCCAAAATTTTTTGCGTTGTGGACATTTCTCAGGGTTGTTGTCTCATCTTTTCTGAGGTGATCCATGAGATCAAAGACCAAGAGGTTTGTGTGTATGAGGCTGGGCTCCATAAAGTGCCTGAAGCCTTCTCAATGATTGATGACCACTGATACACATAGTCAAAAAATAATTTGCTGAAAATCTGTATAATAAAACACAGTTAGAGGGTTAGACCTCTGTAGACTTTTGGGGTAGGTTTCATTCCAAAAATATTGGGGAATATTTTTTTTTTTTTTTGAATTTGCAGGTAAACGAGATAAGGTTGAACACAATTTACCCGAGAGTTTTAACTTTCAAAGAAAGGTACTATCTGTAGATAATAACATTATTGTAGTTTTTGCTTGCATCTATTGGAAAGCTGTTCAAAACTCCAACAAAACTGATATGGAGCATCAAGAGATGGGTTAATAAATAGAGTGCAAGTGAGTAGGTTTAAAACTGACAGACAGATGGAATTTTCATATTAATACCTATCCCTCGTGTGAACAAGCAGAGTGAATGTAGTGCGTGTGGGGAAAAGGAAAGATGAAGGTCTTTTGCATTTTTTGTATTGTGTTAATAAAAATAGCACAGTAAGTTTTCCAGAGAGCAGGTGGGTGTTCCAAATAAGAAAAAAAAAAATAGCTGTGGTATTTAGGATTTCCAGAATAGTGAACAATAGCAAGGACATAAAAATATCTTGGCCCTTTCAGTTTTATCAAATAACCAGTGTTTTTTCAGTCTTAGTCCAAGAGAAGTGTATTGGGTTTTATCAAGTTTCTTCCCATTTATTGCAAACAATAAGCATTCTTTACTTGACAAATATTCCCACAAAATTTCTAATAATAAAGGAATTGAATAATTTTATATAAAACAGTTCATAGGTAATATATTTAAGTAGAATAGGATTTGAGATTATACGTATATCTTTAAATCTAGAATGCATATTTCTATGTTTCACACAGAACAAAGCAAATTTTATTCTACTTGGTCTCTTCCTCTTCTTTCTGCAATTATTCTTGAATATATTATATAATACTGAAGATATAAAGGTGGAGTTTTGTTCTTAGCAGTAGTTAGGAAGAAACTGGCTGTTGGATGGCTGAGAGTCAATATTTGTCCAACATATTCCTAATTTAGGATTTTTTCTTAATAACCTGGAATTAATTTTTTTTTTTTTTTTTTTTTTTTTTTAATCATATGTTGGAAAACACTAGTGAAGCATTTCATTTTGTTAACATTGACTCCATGGTCCATATGGAATTTTACTGCTGATCAGGTTCTACTGACTGGAGTATATAATTACTCAGCAGTTTTGAAACCTTCTTCCATATCTAAAGGCTGACTGAATTTATACATGAAGATTTGAAAATCTTGGCTTTTATAACTTTAAAGCTGAAATGGAAATTGTTTTAGAGCTTTTGCAAGATACATAATACTACCATTTTTGGTAGAATATTGTTTTTCATATCATTTGGAAATTCAGGTTCCTTTATTGGCTGAACTGTGTAATCAAATTTAATGCATTCATATATCTAAAAAATCCCTTACAGGATCATTGCACTTTTGGCAATGAAATTGTAGCTTGATAGAGTTGTCTTTTTTGAAATTAGTGAGTGTGCTTCACTAACATCTCTTTTTAACAGAGGTAAAATTTGATTAAGCTGAAGGAGATTTGGAGGCACTTGCATTTTTCAGAGATATTCACTCTTATTTGATCCAATATAATGAATAATAAAATCACTATGTTGCTTTTCCTTCTAGGGGTTAGGCGAAGAGTTGGTAATTATTTCTATAAATCTCTGATGAGTATGATGCTTATACAGATTTGAAGGCCTTACTGTCTGTGGTAATAAAAGCTGCTGATGTCATGCAGAAGGAATGCATACGCTGACTTTTTTTTTTTTCAGATCTGGTCTCTACAAAATCTAGTGTAGGCTTACTATGTTTAGTTGGTTGGGTTTTCTAAATCCTGAAATAAAAGTATAAAAATAGATTTGTGTGGGGCAAATCCTCCAAACTGGTTTTGTTCAACTTTACTCAATGAACCACTATTTTCAAGACGTAGAAAAGCTAGTGGGAAGCTTGCAGACAAATTAAAAAAACCTCACTATTGTTCTTTTTTAGAATCTAGTTGATTTGTAAATATCTGAAAGTGCTTATAGTTGCCACCTTCCCCCTGTTATGTCAAATTCTTATCACATCCTTGTTTTACTTAACAAGGCAGACCTGGAATGAGTAAAAAGCAAAACCAAAACATACTCACTCTGATATTCCAGTAATCTATGCCATAGAGACTTAAACCAAAGGTGCTTTATTTTGTGTTTATTAACCTTTAATGGATTATTTCCTCCATCAAATTTGGCCTACAGCTTTCTAACATATACCAGCTTCTAATGTATTTACACTTTCAGCTTTGTTTCTGCATGGTGTGAAAGAGAGCCTCTTCTTGTCTGTCCTATATTAGTAGAGAAGCATAAGTGTTCTTAGGTTATTCATCTTTGTGCTACTCCTGATTTTGTAGTCTTGTATCTGGCTTGCAGGACAAGAAGACCTAATCAATGTAGCTGTTCCTTGCACCAAACTTGTTTCACACTTCGGATTATTTTATTTGTCTTTCTCTTATCCCTTTTTCATTTCTTTTATATCTCTTTTTAAAATGGGAAAAACAGGACTGCACATTGTTCACTGTAGTGTGCTTCACGAGTTAATAAAGTCTGTAATTTATGAAGATGCTCTGTATTGCCTTCCTCTCCTACTAATTTCTAGACTTCTATTTACTTTCTAAACTAACTTCTCTGATGTTTTTATAGTATTATTCTAACCCCAAGATCTTGTTTCTTAATTATGTCAGTTCTGAGTCCATCTATTTATGAGTATGTTGAACAGTAAAGGCCCCAAGGATACTTTTTACTCTTCAAAAGGAAATTGCTAGATGAGCAGGTGTAGAATTTGGGATGTGGAAGTTAACAAATGCTTTAGTCTGTATGAACCATGTGGTTTTGTTCATATGATTATGTCTGCATGTTTCACAGGGCAATTTTAATTCAAAAACATTGCATTAATATAAAGCATACAACAAAAATGTTACAGATCATACATTCTATTGAGTATTCCAATGAATTAAACCATCAATAAGAATAACTCCAGGATGCATTTTTGCTAAAATAAATCTTGCATTTTTTGTTAATAGCAAGAATCTTCCCCTCCTCTCCTAAACAGAAGCAGTTTAGTGGTAGGAAAGATTGGTAAGGTTGGTATGGCTGAATGAAAAATAGAAGCAGAAATGCATTAGAGACTTTTGGCTTACAACTAGTTTAATGAATGTGAAAATGTAAATAAGTTAAGTAGTAGGAGTGATGAAAGATTTATTGAACTCGCTTTGTCTGGAAAGATTAATAGAATTAGATAGAATCAGGAGGCCAGTTAGATTTTGATTGAATCAAAGTACTTAATCTTCAAGTACAAATTCAGTGAAAATTTCACCATATTCAAAGAGAGAGGCAAACAGATCTAAAGATCTTCTCTGTTCCTTTGAGATTGGGAAAGGAGACCTGCTGATAAGATCCAATATTTATATTAAGGAATATTGGATGTGAGATGAAGATGCTGCTAGCAAAACCTGGGAATCTAAATGTCTAAATTTTTCAGTGTGAAAAAAGTGGAGCAAAGACTGTGTTTCCCATTCCTGGACCCATCTGAAAGACCTGTATTTATCGCTTGCAAGTGCTGTCAGTTCTCAAAGCCGTTTGTTTTTGTCTTTTTTTGTTTGCTCTATTTGTTTTAAATTGTTCTCTCTTCTTTGTTATTTGAACAGTTTGCTTCCTCCTTCTCTATAGATACTTCTTTTGATTTGCAATCTGGGACTAGTGCTACTTTTCAATATTGCACAAGGACTCCAGTATAAGCCCCATCATATGTTGCCTCCTCCTCATAGCTCAATTCCTTGTATGTTTTCCTTATTACGTGCTTGTCCCTAGCCCCCATTTGATGATTGATTTAAGTTTTTAAGTTAGCCTCAAAATGCCTGTGCCTCCTCCACTCAGAGCCAGACTTAATCTTCCCTTGATGGTTGGAGTCCATGTGGGCTTTATCATTATATTTTTCTTGTAACCTTTCTACAAAAGGAGATTTTGTTCCACTGTTAGGTCTTATGTTGTTGTTCTAATTGGTATGGCTGACTTAATAGTATCCCAAGGTTCAGGGTCATACAGTGCGAAGCACATTATAGAAATGTACAGTAATGACAAAGATGGTTTCTGTTGCAGTTATTACAGCCTTTTGACAGTAGGTCTCCCACATTAGATTCTGAGGTAGCAATTATCTTTCCTTTTCTTATTTCTGTTTATCTACTTATATGGCATACTTTATTGCTGTATAAGCTTATCCTATAATGGCAACTTTTCTGAAAGGTTTTTATGTAATATTTATGTAATTGTGAAGATCACAGGCTCAGTAATAGGATGATGTTTAATTAAAATAATTGGTGAACTTGAGCAAGACTTTCTTGCATAGTTTTTGAAAGCTACTTCTGTGATCCATCTGGCCCACCCAGATCATTAAGTTATCATTGATCATTTATAGAATGGTTGTCTGCTAGAGTTCAGGACATACTTTAAAGTTTGTGCTATAAAGAAATATTTGTTCTCAATTACTGACTTCCTTTTGTGGCGCTAAGGCAGCTATACAGTATCACTAGTCTAGAGTTCTGTGTAAACCCAACTGATTAGAATTATAGGAAGGAAGGCACTATTCCTGACACTATACTTTTAAAAATTGTTTTTCTCTCCAACTACTGATGTAATATTCCAGATACAGGAAGAAGTCTTCAGAAAATAAACCAAGATTTAATGATACTGAGTCTATCAACAGCAGCTGCTGATGGGCTGAAGCCATGTGTAGGTAGTACATACATTCAAGAAAAGGAGTTCATTATGTTCTTGTGTGTCTCTAGGAATCCGGAAAGACCGCAGAGGTGGGCGAATGATGAAACAAAAACGTCAGAGAGAGGAGCAGGATTCCAGGAATGGGGAGGCTTCTTCTACAGAGCTGCGAGCTCCCACCCTTTGGACAAGTCCACTGGTGGTGAAACATAACAAGAAGAACAGTCCAGCCCTGTCCTTGACGGCAGAACAGATGGTTAGTGCCTTGCTGGAAGCTGAGCCACCCATAGTTTATTCAGAATATGACCCAAATAGACCATTCAACGAAGCCTCTATGATGACCCTGTTGACCAACCTTGCAGACAGAGAATTAGTGCACATGATCAACTGGGCAAAGAGAGTTCCAGGTAAGGAAAAAAAGCCCCAGTGGACTATAAAAGCCTCTACATGACAAACCAATAGAAAAAAGGCATATTGTTTTCCACACTACATATTCTAATTTCATAAAAATTGTTCACTTAAGTATAATTACATTAAAAAATCACAAATTTTACGTTCCCTTGGTTGATAAAAAACTATAGTGCAATGTAAGTGATTTTGAAGAAATATTTATTCAAGAAAAGGTATTTCCCCACACTGTAGAGTGTTGGACAGTTCTTTAATTGCAAATCATTTTTTCAGGTAAAAACCAGAAAAATTAAAGGTTAAACCAGATTACTAAAAGCCAAATCTAATAAATTTGATCTCAACAAATTATGTTAATTATTTAGATCCCTTTTGAAAAAAGAGTAACTCTGATGTCTGTAATGTAAGCCATAAATTCAACATCACTAGTGAGCCCATAAGTATTAATATTATTTATTTAAATTCCAGGTTATCTTTTTGACCATAAATTACAGCTCTTCCATGAGTTTTGGGTTTGAAAAACAGAGCCAGAATAGCAATTTTTGTATGAAATTTTTTCCTACTGGAACTAGATGTTTTTACCTTTATCTTTTTGGTGCATCATGGTTGCTGATCTATGACTCCTTTTTTCTGGAAAGGAATTACAGAATTGTGGGAAGTATATAACATTTCTGGTTGAACGTATGTTACACATTCATTCATGTGGTTTAATTAATTTATATAAATTAAATGAGAGAGTACTTTTGTAATTAAAACTCATAATTTTTTAAAATTTCAGTCTACAAGACTACTTCCCGTAAGTTAACATTTAAATGTTTATTAGAAATTTTTTGCACATGCTGTACTTTTAGCTTTGTAAAAAATACTGGCATACACTATAATTTATACTTTATAATTCACCAGGATTCTGATCACTTAAATTTTTAGTGTAGCCATTTATTTCATTAGAATGATGTAGGTGGTTTTTAAAAGGATGTTAGAGAACACTACCACAGCTTTTACTCATATGGTGCGTTACGTAAACAACATTACACCTGGGTTCTGCTATTTTTCTCTTTTTCCTTCATTTAAACTTGGCAAGACTCTTCCTGGTAAATCAATAACCCATAAAATCTGAGTCTTTTCCAGTCCTCAGGGGTTCCCTTTTTACCACTTTTCACATGTCACTTTGTGGGCTCCAGCTATGATCAATGAGAACCTGTGTGTGCTTCATTTCTCATCGTATCTTACAAGAAATCACCTGAGAATTTTATTCTTGACAAAGTCACAGTGGTTAAGATTTGATCCACAGACTGTTTAAGTCAAGGGCGGGTTCTCCTGTTAATTTAGGTATGCTTTACATTCCTTTACAAAATGCTTTTGAAAAATTAATATATGTCCATAGTGTTAAAGCTATTCACAATCAAAATAGATAAATTCAAATTACTTTTCTACTGTTTTTAGAGGCATAATTACTCTAAGTCTGTTAAAATCCATTAGTTTACATTTAACATGAATATACCACATTCTAAATTCATAATGTTGTCCAACTGGAAACATTTGTCTTCTATGACATTTGATTTTAATAGCTAATGTAATTAATTAAAATGTTTTTAGATATAAAGCAACACTGTTAGGAATCTCAGATCTGGTTTTTATTCTTAAATCTCTGTAAAACTGCTTGTCACAAGATGATTACATCTGGTGAAGATCAAAAAACTGCGTGTTTTACCACATATATCATTTATTTCCAAAACAAGCTTCTGAAATTGGAAAATCAAATGTATAAGGTTATCAACTATTTGTGTATATCCAATGTATTTCACATTTAAATAGATGTGCCAGTTAATTGCCAGAACAGTTACTAAGGAGAAACTAAGCCAAATGACTCTACGTATATGCATTAATAAGTACTCTAACAGGTAAGGTTTGATATAAAACTGGTGCACATTGGTTAAAAAAAAAAAACCAAAACCACAAAAAATCCAGTCATAGTCTGATCTATTAGGCACTGTACAAACAAATATACTAAAGGAAAGTCCTAGAGCAGGAGGAGAGGTACAGTATGAACAGTTTGGGGATTCTGAAAGTGCTGGACACCTAGCTGGTTCTTGATATTGTGGCTTGGAGGACAGTATGCATGACCACATGCAGAAATTAAAGTATTTTAGAAAGTTGATTTAAAAGAATTCAGGCTCAGTTGTTTACCTACCTCTAAAATTCAGTCCTCCGAGAGTAGGATTTTTAGAGCTAGGTGCTTAAATCTTTTTTTTTTTTTTTTGGATCTCTCATCTGGTGCCTAGAAAAGGTTGAGTGGTTGCTGATATTAAATCTTAGAAGTACTGATCACCTTTCAAGGATAGGACGTTTGCTTGGCTTGTTTGACTAAGTTTTCTTCTGCTGGAATGTACTGGCAATAAATGTACATTAAGAGAAATGTGTCTGGTAATATAAGTCATATTTTCACCTTCACAGTATGTTGTCTTTGAATGATCCATTATTACTAGGAATTATACAATACTGCTTAATTAGAGAGGATTTTCGTATACTATATGCATAAGCAGAGAAACTGAAAAATTTCTTTCTGTTAGGTGAAGTATTTTGTGCAACAGCATTGTGGAATTCCACTCAGTTATATTCTCAGATAATTTACTAAGGTTTGAAGCTTCAGAATCAAGGGTAAAACCATTTTTTTCTAAAAAGTGAATGTGCTTTTTACCAGCAGAAGAAAGAAGTTACAGGAAACAACCTCTCCTATGCACACCTCTCGAGCCTTGGGAGAATTGCACAAGTTCATTTGTCTAAATGCAGGCACTTAGCTGATGGAAAGTAAGGAGCAAAGTCAATATGAGTGGCTGGGTTGAAAGTATATTTGTTGGGAAAGGAAGAAATTTATATTAACAGAGGGGAAATGAAATGAGGATACAGCTTACAAGTAAGTGTAAGGACTTTCAGGGACATGTTTGGAGTTTGTTTTGCTGTGTAGGCTTTAAAGAGGGAGTGTGTCAAAGCAACTAGTTAAAGGCATTGTTTTGGTCATCCAGTCTTTCTGATGATGTAAATAGGTGGGCATGGAAGAAGAAACAGCTAATTAGAAGATATACTAAATAGAAGTGAATCTATTCAACAAAAAGACCTAATGAAAATTAATTTATGATGGCTTGTGTAGTATAATGTAGGCAGAGGTCTGTTATAAAGACATGTTGAGGTTAATCTCCAAAATGTGGTGAGTATCTTTGTAGACATGCCCTGATTGGGAAAGTGAGTGGTCTAAATCTTTATTGCAATTTGTTCAGCATTAGTTCAAACTTGCTTAAATTGACTCTGCAGTCTTAGTGGTGTTAACAAATTGCTGGGTAAAAGAGAACTTGTGGAAGCTTCTTGTCCATAACCTTTAAAAATTATCTTCAATATTTAAGTACAACATGATTGTTAACTGAAGTCATAACAAAGTTCTCCCATGACAATGTAATTCATAAGATGCCAAGTGCATAAAAGCTTGTTTTATTTCCTTTGAAACCTTGGCCACTAATACAAGTGGGTTTGCCAGATTACATGAACAACTATCTTGTACAGTGTCCTATGATATATGCAAAAAATTCATATGCCCCACAGGACTTGTTCTTTTCATAGCCTAATGGGAATTTTGGCTTATGTCCTCCCAGATGGCCTCTGTAAGACACCCATGGTGCCTTCTGATTACCCCAGTCAGATGGAATAGCAAGCAGCTGCACATAAGGCAGGTGCAAATAGATAGTGATGGACTAGACTTTACATACACATGTAAATTGAGGATTTTACCATTTAATTAGGACAAATGACTAAAAATCACATGTAGACAAGGTATCAGCATTGATGAATAAAAAGTTCTGCACTTTTCTGAATCACATATTCCTGAAAGATATGGCTTTCTATTTTCTTCTTGGTTTACATAAAATCTTGGGGATGTAGTACCACATTCAGTCTCATAAAATGAAGGTTTATAGTTTAGTGAATTTTCATCATGGTCTTTGATGCAATGAGCAAAACCATTACTTTGCTTTTCTACAGAAATTCTGGAATGTCAAATGAATTAAATTATTGTATTTCATTAACCAATTACTCTGCATATAATTTAATATCTATATCTGGAGTACTATATTCTCTAAAGGAAGCTGGTATTTGCAGTATAATCATCAATATTTTTTTTGTGCAGAAGCTCTTCAGATGGTAAGAAACATTATGAGTTTATACAGGGAGCTCATAGTAAAGAGTGTAACTTTAAGGAAATATTGTCACAAACATGAAATCTTTGGCACTGCCACTACAGTCTTGTATAACTATTTACTACCAGTACAGTAGCTGTACAACTTAATAGCCCTAAAATGGTACACTGGGCATACAAGCTTTGAAGTTTTGAGATGATTCACGGTGCTGTACTTATTTTATGGCTTCATGAACCGAGGAGATAAACATTTTGGCACTGATTTTTTTATTTCAAAGCCACAAAGTTGCTATTTTCTTAAGATATTGTTTTCCTATTTGACCTTCTAAACTGTTCTGTTTGTTAAATTAGGAACAGTGTGTAAAGAGGCCAACAATAGCCACAGTTTTAACAGCACTTCAGCGACACCAAACCTTGGAAAAAAAAAAAGTCAGCTTGCAGTGTAATGAAATAAGTCTTATACAAAAGTGTTGTGTGTTAATAACCCTTTACCTGAAGGACAGTTTACAGAGCTTCTGAGTGTAGTGATCTTGCTGACAATAATTTAAACTTAGCTTAAAAAAAAAAAAAAAAGAATGGCTTGCAATTCCTGTAATAATTTTTAATAAATCTTCCAAAATATCTGCTTTTTAGTTTCTTCTCCTTTGACTAATGGGCTTTCTGTGGAGGACTGTAAAATGTTATTTAAAAACCCACCCCTCTGCTTATCTGTTTCATCTATTGAAATGATATTCTAAATTCTCCCCTGACTTCATAGGGGAAAAACAGGAAGAAAATAGATCCGCAAGCAAAAGAGAAATTATAGCAAGCATCTGAATC